GTGCCTGGCCAGCCTGGGTGAGGGGCTGATGGCTGTTTACAGGCTGGCCACGGCCCCCAGCCACCCAAGCTCCCAGTGGAGGCTGGCTGGAAGCAGGTATCTGGGATTTATTTATCTTCTATAATTGAAACTTTGTTGCCTTGAGCTGAGGACACAGCTGGCCAGGGCAGGCGGGAAGCCTGGCTTCCTCCATCACCGAGGCAACCAAGCCTCCTGCTTGCTCCAGCTCTGTGTCTGCCGGCCACCATCTTGGTTGGATTAATTTGCATATAGTCACTCTGATTGGCTGGTGAGCATGGCTTGTGAGTGTAACGGAGGTGTGGTCAATTTGCATGTTTCCCTTTTATTAGATAAGATTGGAGCTGGCAAGAAAGGTGACGGGAGGTGTCTCCAACAGCAGTCCTGTGTATGGCATTCAAACTGAGTTGGGCACAGGATAGGTGCACATTAAACTCAAACATGGCCTTGAAGTAGCGCTGAGGCCATGCTGTGCCTGGTCTCGGCCAGGTAGGCAGGCGAGGGGGTGGGGGTGCGCTAGCGTGCGGCTCGGTTTCCGCGGGGTCGCCCCTGCAGACGGCACCGCCGCGCCTTAGAGAGTCTGCACTACGGACTGTACAGCGGCAGCGCTGACGTCGGCTCTGGCCCTGCTCTCAGACACCTGTTCTGTCCTTAGGCAAACCCCTTCATTTTGGGGAGACCCTGTTTTCTTATCTGTGAACTAAGGGAGGTGGACCAGATGACCACTGGGAATGGAATTTAAAGTCCACTCTCCCTCACCATAAAGTCATACTCAGCCGGGAGCGCGGAGGCGGTTTATCTCTGTAACTTGCACACCAACTCACTTCCCTACTTTCTCCCGGTCCATTCCATTCCATTCTTTATGTTTTTCCTAAATTCCAGTCGACCCCCGGGTCCATGGGCGATAGCTCCCAGACCTGGTGAGTGCCTGGACCTGCGGGTAGGACGGAGCCCTGTACTGACTGTTTCCTCTGGCACAGACCTCTCACCAGAGGAAGCACTGCGGCTCCCAGTGGCCATCGGAATGGCAGTCACCACTCTTGCTCTTTATTAAGTCAATGACTTGAGCACAAGCTCCAAGATACTAAGACAGTTGATCATACAACCAAGACGGTTACTAAGTGGCTAGCAGGCAGGGAGCATGTGCAGCGTGCATGTTGGACAAAGGGATGAGTCACGTCCTGGGCAGGCCAAGCAGGACAGCTCAAGACTTCATCACGCTCTCAGAACAGCACGCGATGTAAAACTACAAATTGTTCATTTCTGGAATTTTCCATTTAATATTTTTGACAGTAACCGTGGAAATCAAAACTGCATATAAGGAGGGACTACTGGATAGTCAGTTTCAAGGGGCTGTACTTTAGTGAAAGAAAAATCATTTCACAGGGTGTATTCGTTATTTCACAATATTTCAGAACACACCCTGAACTACAGAAAGTTGGAGTGTGGGAGGAGTGGTGAGCTACGTCAGGGCCATCTCCTGGGAGAATGAGGTATCATACCCTCAGACAGTCAAGCCCAGTCCCTCCACCCATGTGTCTCCGGGAAACAGTGACCTCATGAGAGCTCAGGCCTGGCCTCGACCCCAGCCTGGAGCTGGGCAGACTCGGCTCAGTAGCACCTCTGGGAAAGCCTGGCCCTTCCTCAAGTTTAGGGGCTACCGAGGTGCCTGGTTCATCCTTCCTGCCCCTACCCCCGGCCCCCGCCAGCAGACGTAAGCAGATGTAAGCATCCTTTTCTTAGCTCCCTGTCTTCCATTATGAATACTCGCTTGCTCTTTGTTTCCTTTAACAATATTTCCTGAAAGTCGCTCCATGTCGGTTCATGTCAGTCTCCTTGTTGCTGGTAGGTGTATAGTATATAGTACCCCATGTTTTCTTCCAGTACTTGTGTGATTCCATGTTTCACACTTAGATCTCTGTTGCATTTGAAGTTGTTCTTGTGAATGGTGTGAAAGATGGGTCTGGCTTTATCTTGTTCCAAGTGGCTACCCAGTTGTCTCCATTTATTAAAAAGTTGAATTTTTGGTCCGAGATGCCTCCTTTAATACACAGTCCTTGGGCCTATTTTGGGCCATCTAGTCTATTCCACTGGTTTGTCTATCCCTGTGCAGGTCCCGAGCTGTTTTAATTATAGAAGCTTCGTAGCATATTTTAATATCTTATTGTAGCTTCTCTTTTTCAGTGTTTTCCTAGCCATTCTTTCATGTTTCTTTTTCCATACCACATTAGTATCAACGTGACTAATTTTTAAATTTATAGTTTAGCCAGGAGTGTAATTTATAAATCAACGAGGGTGGTTTTTTGTGTAAGAGCGTTTCACAGTTTTCCTCACATGGGTTTTGCACATTTTGAGTTAGACTTATACCTAATTATGTAATTTTCTTTGTTGCTGTTGTAAGTGGGATTTTCTCTACCATCGTGTCTTCTCTGAGTAGTTATTGCTCGTGTATGTGAAAACTACTGCCTGCTGTCTGGTTCGAGTATACCTGCTGCCCTGCCGATGGCTTCGAGTGAGACTCGTCACTGATCCTCACAGCTGAGTTCGTCTCATCGAGTCTCTAGAGGTCTCCAGGCACATGCTGGCGTCATTGGAGTCTGGGTGGTTCTCCTTTCTCCTTCTGATTGCACTAGTTGATATCTTCATGGCCAGAGGGAGCCTCGGGCTGTGCTCCTCCATCAGGCTCCTGAAAGGCCGCATAGACAAAAAAACTTTCAAAGGGTAGAGAACTCTTCCGTGGGAGAAGTATCTGGTATTTATCTGGCAAGATGGCATTAAGGCCCTTCTTAGGCTTCGGTGCTAGTGTGGACGGAAGGGGCCACATGCTGACCTGACAAGCTCAGGGAGGCCTGCATGGAGGCCTGCAAACTCACAGGGAGCCCCTGGGATTGGATAAAAAGTAACAATAACAATAACAATAACAATAACAATGAAGGAATCTGTGGTTTCTGTCCTGGTCTCTCAGGCACATTTTGTTGTGCCCTGAGGGGTCTGGAAAAGGGAAAGTTACAAGTTACCCAGACATTTCACAGGGATGTTATCACAGATGCAAAAAGACAATAGGCTCAGTTAAGGTAAAGGTTGACCTTGTCAGTGAAGATACCGGCCTAGGACTTGACTACCCACTGTAACTGCTTTTAGTTAAAGTTTAATTTCAGACCATCCTTTGTGGTGACTTTAGGTCTCTCAGTTTGCAAGACCTCCATGCAGGCCTCCCCTGAGCTCATCAGGTTAGTATGTGGCCCCTTTTGTCCACACGTGTAACCCACCAGGTCCCTTCCTTTGATTGCAATGTATAAAAATAGATGAGAAACCGCCATTCTCTGGAGCATTATCCCAATCCCTTGAGATACTGCTTCCTGGCAATTGTCAACAGTTTGGCTCAAATAAACTCACAGAAATTTTTTACAGGTTTGAATGTTTTTACATTGACATTAGAAAAAAGAGTAAAAGTAAAAATTTGATTTTATAAAGTTCGTTGAAAATACTTGTGCTGGGCCCCAGTTCTACCTTTTTTTCTTTTAAACGCTCTGTAATCATGATTCTGCTCTTTATCTGTGTTGGGTTTGGCCGGTGACCTGGCTGTGAAAGAATTCACAACTGAAAGGAGAGATGCTGAGAGGAAGTTTATTTTCCTTCCCAAGAAAGGAAAGGGCCAAGCACTGCTAGTCACCTCAGGACAGGAAACAAAAAACAACTTCCACTTGTAAGAATAATGGCT